GACAGGACACCTGGGCCGGTCCTTAAGCTCCCCATCGCTCCAAGTCTGTGCTGGTTTCAGTCCATTCCCTCTCAATGGACACCTTTGTTCCTCCACCATTCCACCAATGCTTCAGATGGAACAAACTCTACAGTATTCCCTCAGTCCCTCCTTCCTTATCCACCACACTTCCATTCTTGGACACTCTGTGGGCAGATTTCCAGCAGCTTCTCATGTCCAATGTTCCCATCCTCAAACTGAAAGTTGGGTACAGACTCTTCTGCCCCTTCCTCCGAGAAAACAGTCCTGGGAATCTGCATCTTCCCACTGGCCTCCTGAAGGGACCAAGGCCTGGGGTCCTGGTGATGGGCCCTACACATAGCAGTGGCCCTGGGAACATATGGGTCATGAGAGGGCCAGGGACAGAAGGAGGCAGAGAGCAGAGGGCAGATGTCCTGGAGGTGACCAGTCCCCAGGGGTGTTCCTCAGGGCTTAGCCTTGGGGCCAGTTCTGGGCAAGATTTTTATTAATACTTCTATCTGGCTGCAGGAGCAGAATGCACCAGTAACACTTTGCTGATTATGCCAAACTGAGAGGTGCCCTCAAGGGCTATGAGGCCTTGCAGAGGGATCCAGACAGGTTGGAGCATTGAGCAACCATTAATGGCATAAAATTTAACAAGGGTAAATGCCAGGTTCTGCACCTGGGACAGAGCAATGCTAGGCCCAGGTATAATTTCAAGAAGAGTGGCTGGAGAATTCAGTAAAAGCCCTTTTTTCCACTTCACACTGTTCCTCATCACCTCCTAAAACAACTTTTAAGCAGGAGGAATGACATAAAAAAACAGAGCAGCAATTTACCTCCTACTGCAAACCCAGAGCAGCATGGTGAGCACTGAGAGCTCCAAGAGCTCTGCTGCCACTCCTGTGTGAGGCTGCCACAGTGCCATGGTGCTGCTCATCTGGGCAGCTGGCACAGACTTATTGTCTGGAGTGGCTTCAAAAATGTTACTGAAGTGTTTACCAACTGCAGACAGGGACCTGCTGGAGTGAGTCCAGAGGAGGGACATGGAAATGCTCTGAGGGCTGGAGCTGGGGGTGTTCACCTGGAGAAGAGAAGGCTCCAGGGAGACCTGAGAGCCCCTTCCAGAGCCTAAAGGGGCTCCAGGAGAGCTGGAGAGAGACTGGGGACAAGGGCCTGTAGTGACAGGGAAAAGGTCAGTGGCTTCCCACAGACAGAGGGCAGGGTTAGATGGGATACTGGGAAGGAATTCTTCCATGTGAGGATGGTGAGGCCCTGGCACAGGTTGCCCAGAGAAACTGTGGCTGCCCTATCCCTGGAAGTGTTCGAGGCCAGGCTGGACAGGGCTTGGAGCAAACTTGGGGATAGTGGAAGGTGTCCCTGTCCATGGCAGGGGGTGGGAATAGGTGGGCTTTAAGGCCCTCCAACCCAAACCATCCTGGGATTCTGTGATACAGGACACCCTGACACTAGAGCACTTCCAGTAGCCCACACAGTCTCAGTTTAGCATCCACAGAACTCTTCACCATTCACTTACTTCAAATTATTCCCAGGCCTTTTAATAACCACCCATGGGCTTCTCTTCTGGAAGTGCTGCATTTCCATGGGAAAGGAATCACTCAACAGGCCAAATTTCTGTGCACAGATTCCAACATACCTTCTTCCTCCTTCATTTTCTTCAGGTCATCCTCCCCCACCAAGGACACACGCTTGGGAGGCTTGTCCAGGTGCTGCTGCTTCACTTCAATCTCAAAATACTTCTGCCTCTCACGGAAGGACCTTTGCTCGGGGCTGTGCTGTCCCCCGGGCCTGTGCAC